TGGCTTTACGCACCAATGTTCTACCACTAAACTACGAGAGGTGACAACAGCAATTTGAGGTAGTTTGTAGTGGGTAAATAAAAAATCGAAAAAATGATTTCAAATTAATATTGCATATTAATCCACTATTAAGTAACTAACAATGTCATAGGATTTCATATATTTACCATTAATGAATACAAAAATCGATTCATAATCAATTACTAGCGATGCAACGGAAATATAACGGAAACAGAAATAAATAGTAAATTTTTGCGGACGCGGAAGTGTAATGATTTTAATTTTAATGCAGTGGTTGTACGCCTTTTTCGCGAACATTTGGTTACAAATTTTGCATTTAGTTGTTAACATCAACAAAATAATCCCAAATTGAACTCCATTTGGCTTCAAAATTGCACTTTTAATTTAAAATTTACACCACACTGAGCAAACACTATACAAAATAAATACAAGCGGATGTGAGAATGTATTCATAACTTCCGCAATCACGGAAGCGGAAGCCGAGGTCTGTTGCTACACTATCAACTACCCTCATCAATGATATGAATACAGGGGTATAAGATAGTTTATAACATATTCCTGATATATTTCTAACTTCAAGTCAATCATTTATTAGTTTCTAAACTTTGAAGTCTTTAAATAATATTTGAATTAATATTTTTTTTTACTTACGTGCACATAACATTTCGAAGTTTCTCCAAATTAGTGACGGTGAAGTACCAATAATTTCTATCACAACGTTGCACGTCTTTGTCAATTCGATGAAGGTTTAAACCAAACGTTTCTAGTAGTTCAGGCTGAAAAAATATTCAAAATAATAAGTAGATGTAACCAAATTCATTATGGACTTACAGTATATACTCCACCATTAGAACTTGCCGGTGACAGACATGAAGGAGACGCCAATCCATGAGAATCGATACAATCCTGTGAGACTAACGTTCCACAAACCTCTTCGTCCAAAGAATTCATATATTTTTGTAATCCCTTTTCAATTTGTGCATTGGATATGTCCACACTAGGATTTGTTACAATCACATTATGAATGAAATCCTTCAGCTCTTCGCCATCATTTCTAGTTTCATCAGTAACCTCGTGATCTTCACCACCATCTTCAGTCCTTTCAGTATATTCCCTTTTATTTCCATTGCCATCTTCGTCATTATTTCCAACTGTGTCTCCATTTGCACCCTTGTTGATGACCTCTTCGTCAGTTTCGTGGTTACCGTCTTGTTCTTCACGTTCGACATTTTCTTCGCTCAGTCTCTTGGAGATTATTGTTTGGGTTTCGGAGCTATCCAAAGAGATGTTTCTAATGTCATTGTGGATGACGCTCGGCCGTCTATCGTCGCTCTCAGTAGTCGGATTACTTTGGTCCAGTTCATCGTCAGTGTCTTCGTATTTGATGGTGTTTTGTCGCGTTCTCTTCTCAGGTACTTCGTCTTTAATTTTTTCCTCGTCGTCAGAATCGCTATCCTCGAACACCTTGTACCACAACAAAAAAGAAATGTAAAATTATGAAAAACTTAGGTCTCTGAAGAGTGAAGCTACCTTTACTATTATTATTATGTATTAGGAGTTTAAAGTATTGTATATCATTTTCAGAAATTTTGACTTACATCATTACTGAGTTCCCTGCCTATTTGTTCTGGAGCTGCCTCTTGACTAGCACTTCCGCTGCTTAATTTGGCAATGGCATTGGCTTGAGATTCTTTATCCCTTTGTCTCACAATAGCTTCAACAGCAAGCCATTCAGACATTGTATTCTCATACCTAAAACAGTTTTCAACCGACGATACTCATTAGTTTGAATTATACACGTAATTGCTAAATTTTTGACTCACGCTTGTTTGGTTTGTTCGGAAAGTTCTTCTCTTTCTTCTTTGGTCGTGCCAAACTTGTAATGACCTAGAAGATAGGGCCAAACATCACGTCTCAATTCGTGTGCTATTCCTCCGAAATACGTCAGCTTATAAACCTCAATTGGATCATTTACCACACCGTTGATGCACAATTCTGACCATTTCTGAACGCTTATACCTTAAGCAAGAAATTAATGGTTTTCAACAAAAATTAGTCGACATCTTCAGTAATTTCGGGTCCTACTTATAAGTTTTCTTAATAAAACTATTATTTCCTATTGGCTACATCTGAAATAAATTAACAACTTCAATGGGAATTACTCACCTGCCTCTGCATCTTTCTCAGAAACAATTTTATTATTAACGAGTCCACTCAAATGAGTCCTCACAGTAGACAAGTGCCTGCAGTAAGCCAACCATCCGTAAAAAGCACGAGAAATTATTTGTCTCTTCATCGATTCGCAGACTGCTTGCAAACAAACTGAAGAAGGACTCTCAGGAGCGTTTTGGTCTAAGCTGAAACTCTTCGTCGAACTGTCCGAACTTGTACTTGAACTTCCCAATTGGACTCGCACTTTTGGCGGAAATGTCGTTTTGGTATCCATTAATTCATGTTTCTTCACTGGTCACCACAAAGATAAATACAAATAACTAAAAGGAATCTTCAATTTTTAAAAACTAAGAAGTTAAGAAACAACAAAGTAAAGATGATCTTTTGAGAACTTTCAAAGGAATCGTTGCATCTACTATATAGTTAGAAGATAATAATAATTTCGTTGTGATATTACGAAAAGTAGCTTGATTTCTTACATATGTCCTTGTGGTTACTATTATCTATGATCCTGAATACGTAGTCTTTTGGCGCGTCTTCGTTTTCTTGAAGGACAGGCAATGGTCTTCGACGTTTGTTCGATTTTGCTGTTCCGCTTCTTTGAGACCAAAGCGGCGGATCTAAGCGACCATGAGGAAGAAGACCTGTCTCTAAACAACTCAGGAAAGCCAATGTATGACCCCCTGAAATCGAAAATAACGGAAAATACAGCAAAAATTTGAAGAAGTATTAACGGAAGATTAAAGCACTGTTTATTAGTCGTTGTGTCACTTCGTAGCTTGGATTTGTTTCAATATCATACGGGGGAGGTTAAAAGAACATCCCCGATAGGAGGAGATACGAAAATTTCAAAATTTTTGAAGTGAAACTTCTTTACGCACGGTAGGGTAAGTTCGTTTCATGCGAGTTACTGTGTAACGAAATCATGCAACGCATTTCCCCCGCTGTCTGTCCCTACGAATGCTTAGATTTTCAAAACTACGCAGCGGTTTTTTTTATTCATTAGGATGAACATATAGTCTAATATGCAAATATACGTCAAAATTAAGATGCTTACCTCTTGGAAAATGTATGGGTGGTCTTTGAACTCCATCCTGACCAACCAAGATTACAGTTCCGCCAGTTTCATTATCTTGGTGACAGTGAACGTAAACAATTTCGTCTACCCTTATTTGCAAAGCGTAATCCCAGTATTTACTAGAATAAATCGACAAAATCTAATTCAAATATCCCAATCCTGATTATCACGGACAGCTTTTTGTACCTTTTATCTGAGGTGTCATCGTTGAATCCGTTCATCAACTGATTTGGAGTCCATTTAATGATTAGACAGTTTGGCGATTGATGTAAACTTAAATAGCCCGGTATAGGTTCGACGCAATCGGATTTGTTGGGCAATACTAATACGTTATTCTTTCCGAAAAGGAGAGTCGCTCTGGAATTCTGATGCAGACTTTCGACGTAATCCTTCGCAATATACTGGCTCGATATTCTGGATGAACAATCTTCCGAACTGGTATTTAAGGAACGTTTGAAATTCGGAATGGGACGTCTAATAGACGAGGGCATTATTTGAACGCTTGATATTCGATGCCTTTGAATCTAAAAACAAACAAAAGACGAAAACTACTGTAATGTTCGTGAGTTTAAGAAAATTAACTTTTAAGACTGCTAACGACAAAACTATTTATTTACACTAATTATTAAGGAACTTAAAAGACAATCAAATTATTACTAAACTTAAGTTATGAATTATTCTATTTATTTACACTACGGTTGATAGATTACTATTCACTCCGCTATTTATTTCACTGCTATCACTGTCAATTTATTTCTACTCTTCGGCGTCTATTCCTTTAAATACTCTCTTGTTTCCTTTCGGGAACCTTCTTGAAACGTCCGGAAAAGTTGCTTTTTCTTTGAACTGTTTAATTGCTTTCCCAGAACGCAGGTACGATATTTTGCAGTAAAAACTAATTAATATTTAAAATACAATGTTTATTATCTTGGGTATTTATCATGGGTGAACAATAAAGATGAGATTACGTACACATAGAAAACAAATACAATATTAGGAAGAATTTGGGGAATTGGATGAAAATTATGCAAAGAAGATTGGTACCGAAAAATGACATTATTTAATTCAATGATTAAGAGAATAGTATTTTATAGGGTAGAAGTATGATTATATTGTGATAACAAAAACGAAACGTGGTAAGGTAGTAGAGGAAACAAGAAGAAGACGAAGAAAAATAAAAGGACTGCAGTAGGAAGAGAGATATAGAGAAAACAAATTGAGTTTCGGAATGAAGAAGAATGATAAGTCAGGAACCAAGAATATACGACTTACATAGTATACAGAACTTGAAATACACGAAAGGGTTGAAAGAAATTCTGTTGGAGAGGTGGCAAGGGAATTTATTACCGGAATAGTTGAGGGTGGAAAAGGACATAGCAGTAATAGCGAGATTTAGAATGGGGAATGAGTGTAATCAAAATAAGAATTGGCTGAAATAAGGAGAAAGGAAATGCAGAATAATTAAAAAAAAAGTTCGTATTTTAGAATATAATTAATGAGAATGGTAGTGCGCTAGCAATATTAAAACAAATTTAAAAAAAAAAAGGAAAAGGTAGGGCAGAGAAGAGCAATATTTATTTATTTTTTAACATACTGCTGCATGAAACTTAGAAGAGCTATTTAGGTCGGCTACAGGTGGAAAATTACTTTCAAATGAAATTTTTCTTTTAGTTTACAATACGAATTAAAAAATCATAAACTTAAATAAAAGTTTTAAAATTTTCCTTTTTATGGATGCATTCATTATATACTAACAAAAATATTTTTGAGTTCAATGTATCTTACTGATATTTTTAGTTAAAATACTCCAAAAAAGTTTTCTTTAGTACAGTCACCTCATAAAAAAATAAAAATTTGAAATAAAATCCTCTTGTACTAAAATATCTTGATATTGCTAATTAATAAATTAGTGACCAAAGTGTCATTGTCGTTAATATAAAACACATGAGCATATTGAAACATGATATTTGCATATGTATGCAAATAGTTACTTTAATATTGTAGATAAATTCATATCTATTCCATTTTATATCTAGGGGATTTACCATAAATGTTTTACTTATTACAAATCATCAGAATTCAATAACTGTATATGACGAGATAGGAAATATTGTAACCAATATCATGGATTGATATGTAAATCTGTGTGCTATCTTCGTTACGTAAATCCCTGCTATTACGCAAGGTAGATTGAAACGAAATATTAGGAACGCGAATGTTTCCGTAATGGATTTTTTGACGTCATACGTGTGATATCATACATATTTGATAGCTTGGATATATAGACGAAGAAACTCCTAATCTAGCATTGAATTTCATCTTTTTTGGTCACTAACATGTTTTTTTCTTTTTTAAGCTCTAGGTTCATACCTACCGTAGAAAACCGTACTTCAAATTCTAACATATTTGATGGTTTTCGAACTCTATTAATAACATAATTATTGCATAAGTAATTTTTTTATATTGATACTTTTATTTGTTTTGCTTATAACTTGTCAAGCAATTTTCATTTTTTCTAAAAGCTTGTTCATGTTTTTGTTCTTGTTCAATTGTTTCATTCGTTTTTTGCGAAAGATTTCTGTAGAAGTAGAAAGTTGGGTGAATTTAGGAAGGCGAAATATGAATCGGTCGTTAAGGGTGCATTTATTTTCGAGAATTTCTTTGCGGAAAATTCGTGTTCTTAAAGGCGAGCATTTCGTAAGTGTCGCTTATATTTACACAGTCGTAAGTGCTGTCGTCAAAACAGGACTCTTATAAACGTCTGGAATCCTTTTCGATAACAACTCACCTTCTTCAGGGAACTGAAGAGAGTGGTACTCTTTTGTGCTAATTAGAGTGTTCTAGGGTACCGCCAAGACTTTCTTTTCTAGATTATTACGAACGCGGATGTTTTTTTAAGGAATTAAGGATATTTTGGGTAGTGGTACCGGGTACCAGACAAAACCACTTCGGTTAATGGTTCAAGTCTTTGTTCTGCTAGAATTTCCATTAAATACCACACCACCACATTAAGTCCCATTTAAAAATTCGTTTAAACACTAAACCAATAAACCAATGAAACTAATTCTTGGTTGGCGGATTTTCAACGAGAGGGTTAGGTTAAAACCATTGAAACTAGCTTATAACGTTTACCAACATTGGAAGTCCTCAAGGTGGCAAAATTAGACTAATGAGTTATTGTCAATCAAAAACTCATATACTAACAAGCGACAGAAATTGTGACAAGATTAGCAAGTAAACACAAGAACTTTAAAAAAAATAACAAGAAATTTATCATAGTAATCAATAAATAATACAAATTAATAGAAACGGCCTATCCCAATACGGTCTTAATTACCAACTTTCATTACGTAGGTTTTTTTGTTATACTTTTTAAATTATTATTGCTGGTGTCTGTCTTTTCTTTTTTGTCTAGTAAAATTACCCGATGCTGCCGGGTACCAAGCGTTATTATCCGGTAATCGGCCGGATTCTAAAAGAAAGTGCCTGATCCGCCGGGTACCGGGTGCCCGGCCCATTTTAATTAATACTCATAGAGAATTTGTTCTGTAACTATCTTTTTATGAAACAACTTTATAAATTTTTGCAACTCGTATTTAATTCGGTATTGTTCTTTTGATTTAGCAATTGTTTCATATGTTATAATGATCTAGAACAATGGTCAACAACGGGGGGACCGGGGTCCAAGTCCAGGCCATGGAAAGTTACAAACTGAAATATTTTTTGAAAGTAAATTACTCAAATAAATTATGTAAGTAATAAAATATTTTTCTGATGTTTGAGTCTTAAGCGTCATCCTTATCATTTTTTGATTGAAGAAATATGCGTTTTCTGGACCTTTTCAAAAACATCCCCGGACCCGACCTAAATTTAGGGAGTTGACGAAAATAGTTATTCAACTGAAGTGGTTAACAGATTTCTCCACAAAATGGTAACGCCTTTTAATTGTTTCGTATTATTTATCTCTTAAATTATTAAAGTATATAGTATAATTACTCATACATGTCCTAATAGTATCTCCGAACCCGATATACCTATGTATGTACCTATAGATATTTTCGATTAGAATTTCAATGCAATCAAATCCAACATTTGTTACAAAATGACTGTTAAAAGATTAATATTTGCGAAGTCGGTATCTGTCGCAGGAAGTTACTACATAAATTGCAAGTAATTTAGATAAAAGGAATTTAATCCGGAAAGACGGTCATGTGCTGGCTGGAAGCCGACAGTAATTCGACCCCGATATAAAGCAGAACCTATCAAGAGTTTTATTTTACGATTATTATCTAACATGAAAGTTGTCTTTGGCATTGGCACTTCTTTAAGCATTATTTTTATCGATTTTCTAAACTTGGTGGCAATTTTAACCTTTGCTAGTTGTGATTAAGTAGCTCTTATGTTTTTGCTCTCGAATTCGATTAATTTAGAAATTCAAGAAAAAATATTAACTCGACATTTTCAGACACACTTCTATCTTTCATGATTGCACTTCAATCATCATCATAAGGTCGCCAGTCCTAAGACTGGTTGAACACGCACCACCACTCTATCCTATCCTGAGCTAATCTTCGCATTTTCCTAAAACTAGAACATCCCATATCCTTAAATATTTGCGAACAGTAATCTAATCTAAGTCTACCTCTACCTCTCCTAACTCCCGTTTCTGCCTCTAATATATCTCTGACTAGACCTTCATGCCTGAGAAGGTGTCCTACTAACTTATCTCGCCTCCTATTTCTTATTGACTTCCATAGAGTCCTCTATTTTCCTATTCTTTCTAATACCTCGTCATTTCCAACCTTCTCTTTCCACAGTATCCTCATCATTCGCGTGTAACACCACATTTCGAACGCTTCTAACCTTTTCTTTTCCGCCACGCCCACCGTCCATGTTTCGCACCCGTACAGCGCCGCGCTCCAAACATACACCGTCAACAATCTTTTTCGAATTTCTAAATTAAACGATCGCGAGCATAGAAGTGATCTCTTTTTATTGAAGGCGACTCAACCTTGCGCTATCTTCTGCACTTTAGTAGATATGAATAGTTTTTCCATTGTCAGACACATTTTCCCTAATTTTAAGAGCGGGGGGGTTGTTTGTCGGCTTTTCACGCCTTAACTATCCAACCGATCTTAATGAAATTTTGTATACGCATTGTCAAGGATACAGAAAAGTACACAGGATACCTTTTATCCAGAAGAAAAATGTTGATCCCGAGGGATAGAAAAAATTAGTTTTACGTTATCGTCGATGATTTTTGACATGTATTTAGGACATCAACGCGAACACAGTCAGGGGTGTAATCTAGTAATCAATAGATGTTTAATATTAATACAAAAATTTAAAATTCTTACAATGAAATAACGAATTACGCCGTAGAAATACTTATCTCGAAATTGTACGAAATTCATTTCACTAGCTCAATAAAAATTTAGTGTTAAAAGCTATACCTTTAGTCTAATGTTAGTAAAACGTGATAATATTTTTAATTCTCCATTTATCGTAAAGCAACAACTTTGAGTATACATACGAGGGTGGATTGATAAGTTTCCGGCCTAACCAAGAGATGACGCCACTAGGCCTACCTTGAGGTGACATTCTATAGTACCATCCTTGGATAGCTTGTAGCTATAGTTTCAGCCCGATCTCCTTGCTAGTGTAGGTTTGACAGCACGCTGAACAAGACGCCTCTGTGGTTTTCGTAAAAATGGAAAAGCAGGAAAATCGTGCTGTCATCAAATACTTTTATTTGAAGGGGTTAACGCCGAAGGAAATTAAAAAAGAGATGGACTCAACACTGGGGACATCCTCCCCGTCATATTCAACCGTTAAGCAGTGGGTTTCCGAGTTTAAAAAGGGTCGTGTGAGCACCTCTGATGGGCCTCGCTCAGGACGCCCCGTTGAGGTCACAACTCCAGATATGATCGAAAAAATTCATCAAATAGTGCTGGGAGACCGCAGATTGAAAGTGCGTGAGATAGCTGAGACCTGTAAGATGTCATATGAACGTGTGCAACATATTTTGCACCAACATTTGCATATGGAAAAGCTCTGTGCAAGATGGGTGCCGCGTTTGCTAACAGTCGACCAAAAATTGATTCGAAAAAACATTTCTACCGCAAATTTGTCATTGTATAAGCGTAATCCAAGCGAATTTTTGCGTCGATTCGTAACCGTTGACGAAACGTGGGTCCACCACTACACTCCTGAAACCAAAGAACAGTCTAAACAGTGGATTGGACCAGGGGAACCAACTCCAAAGAAGGCAAAAACAATTTTTTCGGCGAACAAGGTTATGGCTACTGTTTTTTGGGATGCAAGAGGTATTATATACATTGATTACCTTGCAAAGGGTAATACTATCACTGGTCAATACTACGCAGACTTATTGCAACGTTTGAGCCACGAGGTGAAAATTAAACGACCTCATCTGGCGAAGAAAAAAATCTTGTTTCATCACGATAACGCACCAGCGCACACGTCAATCGTTGCGACGGCTAAAATCAACGATCTAAAGTTTGAATTGATGCCGCACCCTCCTTACTCTCCAGACCTAGCCCCGAGTGACTATTTTCTGTTCCCTAATCTCAAAAAATGGCTTGGCGGTAAGAGATTTGCGGACAATGAAGAAGTAATCGAAGCTGTAAATGGTTATTTTGAGGAGCTTGACGAATCAGTCTATAGAGATGGCATTAATAGACTGGAACACCGCTATGAGAAATGTATCAGCCTTGGAGGAGATTATGTTGAGAAATAAAAAAAAAAAATTTTTAAAAACCTTGTTTTTCTTGGTCAGGCCGGAAACTTATCAATCCACCCTCGTATAGTTTGAAGTAAGTACGTTTCAAATCCTGATAGAAATTGGCAGTAGAATTGAAATTGTTTCCTTTTTCTGAGCTATCTCTTTAACAGGAAAGACACAGGAACTGTTTTATGGGCAATAAAATCTTTATCATATTTTCCAAGTGATTCTGAAGCCAATAAAACGTGTCCTTTATATTTTATGGTCTTTTCCAGGCCTCGAACAGGTACATTAAACACTGATTGAGGTCGGTATTTTTTTATTTTAAGTCCGCCATTTTATTAAATTGTATTTTACTCGAGGTAGCCGTTTTACCGGAAATTTGACGGCAAATCGGTAATGTATATTACATATCCAATGAATATTTTCGGTTAAGTTAAAAAAAATGAATGCATTATAAAGAACCCTTGCCTACATAACCTTTAAAAAATTTAATAACTAAAGGTTATATTTAAACGATTACGTATAGAAAACAATGGAAGGCAGTAATATGAACTGGGTCAATTTCGGAAGGCGAAGTCCGTAATTACCCGGTCGTTTTAAGTTGACAGTTTTGTCGAACAGGAGATAAAACAACGTTGTTCCAATCAAGTAATTTACCACAGACTTCGCCTTCTTAAAATGACCCACCTTGATATAAAAATTATTAGTTAACAGTCGGCGATAAACAGAAATACGAAGAACAATTTAGAGGATATTAAAAACAATCGAAACAAATGACAGTCAATGTTGTTTTGTAATTATCTAGAACTGGTAAATATTTACAAACGGATTACTTTTATTTACCAATGTCGCTCCGTCTACTAAGTTAAAAATAGAATCATTGCTGACATTTAATAGTAATAATTGTGAGACTCACCAATTCATCAGCAGGTGGATCTGTCCAAAAATGATCAGAAGTTTTGGTCCTTGTATAATCAAGTGCACATGGTCCTACCAAAAGAGAGCTCAGAATATTACCGTAATCAGGATCAGCAACTAGAGCATCCTGTAAAAAAACAAAATATGCGTGTAGTTTTCGAGCTTCGAACTAACCGTACCAAACCTAATCGAACCATACCTAACCTAACTCGAACCCAACCAATTGCAATTGGTTTTCTGGCCAAACATTGCTGTAAACAATGGAAAGGACAGGGCTACGATAGCACTCACTTCATTCGGGTTACCTTTTACTACCGTAACCCTGTGGTCCTAAGCAATCATAAAAAAGAATTTTTCGGGTTGGTTGAAATTTAGTTAGGTTAGATTGGTTGGATCAGTTCTGATTTTCAATTTTTTGAAGCTCGAAAAGTATGCAAAGAAATTATTTCCGCGCCCAACAAACGTTGTAGGGGATGACGGGATGTCTCTGAAATAAATAACTCGTTTGCAGGAGGTGATAGGGCGCTAGAAAACGAGAAAATTAAGTAAATGTTTTCGGGAGAAACGTATTTGAAGGCACAGACGAGAGTCAGTCCGGCCCTGGTAGGATCACGCAAGGAAATGCGACATTTATAACGATATGTATTTAGACAGTCGAAGATATCAGAAGTAGATCAATGGGTCAATGTCATAGGTCAGTGCAAAATACTGCCGACGATGAAAAAAGTAGCTATTTAATTAATTAGATATTAAATTTCTTTGTACGTTGTCTTTTCACGCTCAGGGCCGGCTTCGGATTGCACTTTCAATCCCCGTATCTTTCACACCCTTGTAGCTGTAGACTCGTAAGTACCATAGTGCCAGATGGGAGGCTGGAGGCTACTACAACTGTGTAGTTTTGACTGCAGAGTGAAATATAGGCACACGTGTCCATTTTTATATATTCTTGTTCAGCGTAATAAAATTTCAATGAAACCCGATACCTACTAATTAAGTCCTTAACAACGTTATTGTCATGGCGTCCAATTTCCATAAGTTGAAGGCACAATTGTTCTTACTATAAATTCATTGAGTTACATCTTCATCACGATGTAAATTTTCAACGTGACGTTTTAGTCTGCGATCTTCTTGATAGAAAATTACACAACCGATTTTAATTAACTGTTGCAGACGACGCAGTATGAATGCGATAATAAGAGTTAGGACAACGGTATTTCACAGAAAACTTCATCTAACTTAATTAATTTGTATGCAAAGATTAATTAGTTTTACGTCATTCAGAAGTGCCCAAAGACTTCACATAACAGTTTTTGTATTGTAAAAAGAAATAAGAACGTTTTATACTTATAATTTATAATAGGTAAATGTTGTCGTATTTTATTACAGTGTTTTTAATCAAAATTAAAGGTTTGATACCTTTGTTTTGTTCTTACGGTTTTGGTTTTAGTTTTTATCTAAAAGCTGGTCTCTTTTAGTTTCATATCTCATGGTCTTGTTTAGAAATTTTTAGTTCTTCAGTCAATAATAAATTAAAATTGAAACTAAACGAATTCACCGAGATCTAACAAATTTTGTTAATGAAACTTGTGTGTATATGTCAATAAATTGCTTGCTAAATATTTTTCTTTTTACAAAACATTGCCTACTAACCATTTTTATTGGTCTTCCTTCAAGTCTTTATGTAATTGCCTCGGCCCCATTTTTATAATATTGTCTTGATTTCGTTCAGTTTGTGTGCCTTGTGCAAAACTTTGGTCCCAATATTTTGCATCACTTATTGTGTTCTATCGTTAGTCTTCCTTACAAACCTTAACATCCTTTTCTTAATCTTGCAGTTTAGTTTGAAACCTTTTGGCCCTGTTTGCAACTTTTTTTGACTTTTTTGCCACATTCCAAGACAATATTATTTGTCAACTGAAGGTCTAGTCAGAGATATATTAGAGGCAGAAACGGGAGTTAGGAGGGGTAGAGATAGACTTAGATAAGATTACTGTTCGCAAATAGTTAAGGATGTGGGATGTTCTAGTTTTAGGGAAATGCGAAGATTAGCACATGAAAAGAAAGAGTGGAGGTGCGTGTCCAAGCAGTCTTAGGACTAACGACCTTATGATGATGACCTTTGTTTTGAAAGTCATGGATTTTTGTAGTTCTTGATCTTGATCTTGATCATTTATGAGGTTGTCGTTTCATTCGTCAAGTCTGGATCCCTTTTTTCAGGATTTGGTATTGTTTTTTGTCCAGTCTTGGTCTTGCCTTCAAGTCTTTGTAATATCGTCAACTAGTTTGGTTCAGTTTATCCAGTCTTGGGTGTCCTTTCTAATGTTTGATTTTTGTTCCAAAAATAATACTTAAGTAAGTACTTATATTTTTACTTTTGTTATAATTATGCTGTTTTTTGCTTAATTCGGTAGCGTTATCCGTTCCATAAACTATTTGTTAAGAACCGTTTAAGAGGCAAGAAAAAGAAACTCTTGAATGTTTTTTATTTTTCGTAAGAAAAAAGAATAATGACGGTAACTCTATTCTGCTCACCTTATCGTAATATTTACTCGCGTTAGATACCAGATAGTCAATTATTTTGGCGAGCTGTTTCTCAAACAAAGCCAACCTAATCCATAGGTATTTCGGAAGCGGGATGTTTTGTAAAGAGGAGTTTTTTTTCAGCACCGGCTTTGTAGTGCTATCGCTACTGCTAGACGATCGCCGATTGACGTCACTATTTTCCATTTCTATTACCTTCTTAGAAATTATATCCGCTTCAGGACAATGTTTCGCAATTTTATGTAGAAGGGCTGTCGTCGAGGACGTTTTGAATAGGCCAAGCGCACGACGGCGAAGACCTGAAATAATAACTCAAAAGTAAAGAATAGAAGCATACGATTTCTTATTAGGTGATGAGCTTTTAACAATGTTCAAAATTTTTGTGTCATTGCCCCTTTATAAATATTTGTGGTGTAATTCAAAAATTTTCTAGTAAAGTAAAATTAAGTTTTTATGCGTTTAAGTTAAGTAGGGATATAAAGCAGAGTGTGTCGCCTTTAATAAAAAGAAGTCACTTCTATTAATTTAGAAATTCGAAAAAGGTTGTTAAAGGTGTATGTTTGGAGTGCGGAATTGTACGGGTGCGAAACATGGACAGTGGGCGCGGCGGAAAAGAAAAGGTTAGAAGCATTCGAAATGTGGTGTTATAGGCGAATGATGAGGATACCGTGGATAGAGAAGGTTAGAAATGAAGAGCTATTAGAAACAATAGGAGAACAGAGGAGTATATGGAAGTCAATAAGAAATAGGCGAGATAGGTTAGTGGGACAACTTCTCAGACATGAAGGTCTAGTCAGAAACATATTAGAAGCAGAAACAGGAGTAAGGAGGGGTAGAGGTAGACCTAGATTAGATTAATGTTCGCAAATAGTTAAGGATGTAGACTGTTCTAGTTTTAGGGAAATGCGAAGATTAGCTCAGAATAGGAATGAGTGGATATACGTGTCCAACCAGTCTTAGGAGTGACGACCTTATGATGATGAAGTGATATTGTTAAAATAGTTATAAGTATATAACTGTATCACGGGTGCGAAATTTAGACGGTGGGTGCGGCGAGAAAGAAAAGGTTAGAAGCGTTCGAAATGTGGTGTTACAGGCGAATGATACCGTGGATAAGGATGGTTAAAAATGAGAAGGTATTAGAAAGAGTAAGTGAACAGAGGACTCTATGGAAGTCAATATGAAACAGAAGAGATAGGTTGGTAGGACACCTTCTCAGACATGAAGGTCTAGTCGGAGACATATTACATGCAGAAACAGGAGTTAAGAGGAGTAGAGGTAGACCTAAATTAGATTACTGTACACAAATAGTTAAGGATATGGGATGTTCTAATTTTAGGGAAATAAGTACGAAGATTAGCTCAGGATAGGAATGAGTGGAGGCTTGTGTCCAACCGGTCGAAAGACTGACGATTTTATGATGACGATCAAGTGATTTTGGTGCATAAAAAGAAGAAATTTTGATTAATCGATATTAACAAATTTTATTTAAGTTAAAACATTACAAGTATAAGAGTTCAGTGTACTGTCTGAAACTCCAAACAGTACGAATCAAAAATAACTGTTCTCTTTTTGACTAAGAATTGATGATGATCAAAATTGCAGTTCGTTATATTAAAGGAAATTTAAATTTGAAATTATGTACTTATAATCTTTTGTTTTTTTTTAATATATCTAAAAGACTATGATTTTGAACGCCTCCCAAAGTATCGAAAACATATGTTATTTATCTTCTATACTTTGTTGCTTTGAACTTCACAATTAAATAGGCAGAATTAATAAAATTATTTACCTCTGATTTCTTCTCTGGTTCAAGGGTTTACATAATGTATGTGAAATTCAAATACATGCCTTAAAAATAAATTTTGACTTATTAACTGGAACAATGCAACGGATTAACTCATTTTAGTTCTGTTCGTAATTAGATATACAGCGAATAAGGAAATTGAAAACGTATTACTGCACAGCTGTTCTAATAATGAATTCTCTTTTGTTTTTTGTTTTTTCTTTTACGTTCATTTTCTGAAATTCATTACTTTTCCTTTGTTTTCCTAACATTTCATTTTACTTATATCAGATGCTATAGGGATATTTTATATGTTCAAGGGTGGAATCTATTACCATTCTGTCTAATCTCTAATGGGTCCGTTCAAGTAATGAGCTTTTGTAGACCATTTCAAAAACACACACGGTTTATTTATACAGTCCTGTGTTCTAGAAATCAATACCATAAAAAAATAGAAAAATAGAAGACTCTCATTAATTATTCAATATTATTGTTAGAATTTATTTACGATAATTTTGCGGTGTTAGAGAAAATGCTAGAAAAGCTACAAAAATATCTATTTAAGAAAGGGCTAGAACTAAATCTTGAATCAATGGTTATGCAAGTTACGAAAAACAGAGGAGGAGGCGGAAGGGAAAAAAACAAAAAAGTATGGAAGTGGATAAAGATAGAAACGGCGAGGAATTGTTCATACCTATGATATGTGCTGACAGATTATAATAGAGATGATGTATATTATCAGTAAAGTGTCTAACGGGAGGGCAATTATGGGAAGGGTATCGGGGCTAGGTCAGAAATTACGTAAGGATAATTGGGGTAGGAGGCTGATGTTATTCAATGTGATGGTGTTGAGTGTAGCTTTTTATGGGTAAGGTAAGGAAAAAATGCATGTAGAGGTTTTGTATAGAAGATATATCAAGTGAATATTGCAATTAGAGAGAAGTACGCTAGATTATGTAATAATAAGAGAAGGGCGATAAAAGGGATAGTTAAATATGAGGAGAGGTTCGATAGGCTAGAAGAAGGGTATATCATGAAGCAAATAGATAGGAAGAAGGTATTGGAAATAGGGACGGAAAGTAGATATGATATGAAAAGGGGAGAGGCTTTTGGAGCGATTAAAAGTCAATCAGCAGTAGGTGAGAGAGTGGTTTAGGAACGGGATCAATATGGTGACTATAAGGTACAGGAAAACGATTAGAGGAGAGGATTTAAAAAAAAATAGAAGAATCATGAGGTGGGGCTTAGATATATTTTGTGAAGGAACAAACAAGTCGATTGGGTGTCAAATTATTGGGTTGTTCGGAAAGTCATTTCGTTTTTTCCTGACAGAGGATTTAATTGTATTCTTTTGCACCCAACTTTACATTTAAGCCGTATAATTTTTATATGCAACAGTTAATGACCACTTGAAAGGCCTGGGATTATCCTCGAAGCTCGATGTATGGGTTCCCCATGTTCTCACAGAGAGAAATCACAGAGAGAAATCTGTGTCGCCGCATTGACGTCTGCGATTCGCTTCTCAATCCGTTTTTGAAGCGCATCATCACTGGGGACGAAAAATGGGTTGTACACAACAACGTCAAACGCAAGAGGTCATGGAGCAAAAAAGATGAACCGGCTCAAACCATTTCCAAAGCCGATATTCACCAAAAAAAGGTGATGCTGTCTGTTTGGTGGGATTTTAAAGGAATCGTTTTTTTTTAGCTTTTACCGGATAACACAACGATTAATTCGGAAGTCTACTGTCATCAGCTGGACAAACTGAATGATGCACTTCAACAGAAAAGGTCAGAACTAATCAACAGGAAAGGTGTAGTGTTTCACCAAGACAACGCGAGACCTCACACAAGTTTGGTCACTCGCCAAAAGCTTTTACAGCTTGAATGGGATACAATGCTACACCCACCATATTCTCCAGACCTGGCACCATCGGATTATTATTTGTTCCGGTCACTCCAAAATTTTTTAGACGGTAAAACCTTCACCTCAAATGAGGAGGTCAAAAACCTCCTCGATCAGTTTTTTGCCAGCAAAGACCAAAAATTTTATGAGCGTGGAATTATGCTACTACCAGAAAGATGGCAAAAGGTGTTGGACCAGAACGGTCAATATATAATTTAATAAAGTATTTGTTTATTATACGAAAACTATCTTTCATTTCCACAAAGAAAAACGAAATGACTTTCCAAACAACCCTATATTTAGAAAAAGGAAGGGAAATAACGTGTTAGTAAAATTGAGGGCAGAGAATAAATGTAGAGGATGTAAATATTGGAAGTAGAAGAAGAACAGATGTAGGATATGTGACAGAGAGGTACAATATCTGGAAGAAATTTTAAGGAATAGGGTGTTTTTTTCTTTTAAAGACAGTGAAAGAGATATGACAAAAGAAAGTAGCGTTCGTAAGAAACGTATTCCCTGGACCGTATTTTTCGCCGATTTACGTTGCAAAATTGGTTTCCATGAAAAGCGCTTTTAATTTAACACAATAATATACTGTCTACATCTTAAAGGTCTATTCTAAATATTAGTGAAAGAATTTGTGAAATCGGATGAGTAGTTTCTAAGATTACCTCCTACATCCAAATTTTAGACTTAAAAGTTCCAACAAATTTACAAAGATAGATGAAAAACTACTTGCACCTACTCACTATTATTTTTTTTATTATTATTTACTTATTTATTAAATAATATCTATATATACATCGTATCAGCTTATCTGGCTTCAAAAGTTTCATTTAACTTCGCGAAACTTTGCATTAATTAATTATTTATAAATGAATAGACAGGCAACGTATAAAACTTTAATTCTGATGTCAAACAAGTTTGTTTGGTTTTAATTAATGTTAGTTAAATTAGTAAGCAGTACTTTAGAACAATGGCGAAATTAGTTTTACTTTCGTAATTAATAACAAGATAAAATATAAGCAACGCTCTTTCGCAAGGTTGGTTTTCATCGAGAGTTTTCTTTATTATAACTACATGAAGAAACGTTGATTATTGAGCTTAATTTGCAGATTGAAGTAGAAAGTACTGCTCCAAAAGATTTGTAATTTAGAAATTCGAAGAGATTGTTAAAGGTGTATGTTTGGAGCGCGGCGCTGTACAGGTGCGAAACATGGAAGGTGGGCGCAGCGGATTGACTGATTGATTGAACTTTATTAGCCTTCTCGACTATTTCCAAAATACATTAAAACCTTACATACTAAGAACCTTATTACCATACGATAGTAGAAAA